TCTTCTTCTTCTTCTTCTTCTTACTAGTTCCGAAGTTGAGGAAAAAAGTGGATCGAGTTGGCATAGCAGTGCATTGTGGGGCTGTATTAGGGGACATTTCAAAAATGGCGGTTTTTTCATTCTTCAAAACAGTCCCAAAATGCACTGCAAACCAATTAACTCTACCGACCGAATTTTTCCCTCGACATCGTAATGGCAAACTCAGCATGCCCATTCAACATGCCCAGCATACAATTATATAGGAACGCATATGTGTGTCCTTCTGAAACAAACGACTGTGTCTAAAAACATTTCCTTTCATTCCTCTCTAGGTAAAGCAAAGCTTAGAAAACTTCCTTCAGCAGTCAAAATATATCTGTGATCAGGTAGGCTTATACTGAAACAAAACGACTGACATTTACAATTTCAAAGGTTCAAATATTGCGACGATTTAAAGATATTTTAGACATGTTTTGGTAGGAGAGCTGCTGTCATCGTCAGTTATGAAAATGCAGAATATGTATTCTGTATATGAATCGTATAATATGTTGTTCGTTAAATTTTACACCCTTTGGTTCCTGACGATGATAAACTGAACGTGACGGATAATTRCAAAAATTTTTTTTAGTTAATATGATAGAGCTTTTGTTTTAAGGAGGGCTTAATTCTTCCAAAGGTATAGACACCTTCATTTATCCTTTTTTTTATATCTTTTATTATCTTTTACAATTACATTTATCAACTTTTAATTTTTCCTGTACATTGATCATGTACATCGATCACATCATTAGTCACGTGTTTTAGCACGTGACTCAGTGATCACTAAAGTGAATTTTCCTCATTTGCTCTATTAGTCACGTGTTTTAGCACGTGACTTAGTGATCACTAAAGTAAATTTTTCTCATTTGCTCTTTTTTAGTCGCGTGTTTTAGCACGTGACTTAGTGACAAAGACAGAAGGCAACATTAACGATGTGTTAAGGTTTGCTGGAGATACTCCGTGGGATAGGAGTGTAGTAGAGATTATCGTTCATCTGGCTGCTGTGCTGTTCTCACGCGACAATGACGACCTTGTTGGTCCATTACTGACTCTTGCTTTGCGCCCTGGCGCGACTACCGTAAGTAGGGACTAAACGTTTTGAAATTAAATTTTCATTTTCAAGTTTCGTCTGAAGGGAGYTGAGGTTACAATGGGCGGGTTTCACTTAACGTCATTTCCTACAGTCAATTCAACAAACGTTGTCGTTGACGACCCAAGCCTACGCGACTGAACCGAAAGAGAATATGGGTAAAAATCACTGAAGCGGTTAAATATTCGTTCTGAATTAATTATTCCCGCTAGAAATAAGATAATAATGGCGAGAAACAATYCATCAAATGCATGTCTTCACAATTTCGAAAACATGAAGGCATTAAAATAACGTCTCCTTCAACACTTCCCGCTCGCCTACGAAGGCTCGAGCTGTAAACCAGGCATAACTATTTGAATAAAATGACTGCATTCGACTCGGCTTTAATGCACGATTGCTGCCGAGAATTCCTTTCGGTTCAGTTGCGTAGGCTTGAGATGGTCGATGACAACGTTTTTTGAATTGACTGTATCTTGTGCGTAATGTCCATCAGCTGAATCGCAAGTTTTCAGTAGAATTCTCATTTCTGGCTGACAGCACACGGTTGTCAGTATTTGACCACTATTTCGAGTAGATAATGAGATTCAAAGAGTTTTATCAGCTGAGTGAAACCCAGCATAAGGACGCGAGATTCCCTGATACATTATACCAAACCTCGGCTACATATTGAACATAGGAATAGAATTCCTTGGTTGTTTCCAGCCATCTCTTGATGAGACACGCTAACATGTATATTTCATGTAGGGCTCATTTCTTCCCACAATGCCTGACGATCTTCTGCAAAACGTTAGAACAGCGATAGCCGGAACGTTTTACGGTAAGCTCGACTGTCTGGAAAACTCGCGCCTAACTCAACGTGAAATATTCTTTCTTATCTGTTCTTTTTTTTTTCGTAGAATGTCCTAACGGCCACCCTTATATCGTTACTGAAGTGAGTACTTATTGACAGTAATGTTAGTATAATACCCCCATTTCGAGTTCGCCTTTACTCAGTCTTAGCCTCGATTGTGTATAAATGTGTTCTTTTCTTTTATTAACGTCCATTTTATAGTAAGAAATGTACGTACTTACGAACAATASGAGATGATTAAATAGCCACAGGTTTTGGTTGAATGGCTAGAAATTTTAACGCGCAACCGAGACTAAGGCCCCGTCCACACTATGCCGGATAAATTTGAATCCGCAACTTTCACACCGAAACCGAAAAAAAAGTTTTCCGTCCACACATGATAACGGATAAAATGTTTCGCGTCCACACTAGTCCGATCAGAAGCGGCAAAAACGCTTCATTCCACATCTGAGTATGTGCATCGAAGCTGGAATTGAGTCCGCGGTGAATTTTTAGCCTTCCCACCATGTTCCCATGACAATCCTGTGGTCATCGTATTCGAAAAATTTCGGATACGAAATGTTTTCCGTCCACACTAATGCCGCTAGCCGGCGATTTCAAACTGTTCCACTCTGGAGACCGTATTCGAAAAAATTCGTTTTCGGTGAAGAATTGTTCCGGATTTGCCCGGACTAGTGTGGACGGTAGGCCTATCCGAATAAATAAAAATTCGGATTCAAATTTATCCGGCATAGTGCTGAGCAAAAGAGAACTCGAAACTGGAGTATTTGGTTTCATAGCTACCACTAAATCGTTCTTTAAGACTCACTTAAGTTCAAATAACCTCTGAGCTGAACAAAGTCAGGGCAAGACTGACTCGCAGAACGAATTGGAATTTAACTTGTTGAGTTTTGGTGCGAGGAAGCTTAACTCAGTGGAGAACGCGCGGAGAAAAACCCTTGAAGGGAGAGACATAACGAACTCTCTACTCATATGTAATGCCGAGTTTAGCAATCGGACCTGAGGCACCAAAGTTGAGAGCTGAGTGCACTACCAATATTCTAGCCTTGTACTGATTGCTCTTTCCTGTACGACCGACTTTTAGTGTGGGCGGCCAATGGAAAAGAGCTATTGCAGAGCACCTGGTTGCAGAGCAGAAATAGGTGGAGTGGACCATCAACTTACGAGCACCAACAGACCGGGACGAACGTACGTATATTTAACAATAAGATTCGTCCCAGGTTCAGTGATTGTAGGTGAATATTCATTGAGTTAAAGTGGARGTAAATATTCACCATAATCACTGAGTCTGAGGAGGAAAATTGTTTTAGTATAATTTTAGACTTGGATATCAGAGAAAAGTCAAAATTCTGGATAAAAATTCCCACTTAATTATTACTTCCGTTTTTGGTGATTTTACTTCAAGAGATGTCGTCTCTTAATCACCGGTCGCTTGACCAATCACCGAGCGCGAAACCCTATACTCAAGTCTTAAATTAAAAAAAAAATTATCAATACATTCACTCATAAGTTCAAATAAGTTCAAAGAAAATAAATGCTTTATATCATGAATAATTTCATTTACTTATGATTAGCACGGATTTGTCCAAGAAAGGGCAYTGCCTTGGTTCTCCTGATGTAAGAGGAACTGAGCCGACACCAGAGCGGGAAATGTCTCCATTGGTCACGTGTCTTCTGCGTCTACTTGTTCATGGGTCTATGTTGATTGGTTCGTGCTATCATATACAGGTATAAATCAGGCCTAGCCTCTTTCGTGCATCTGAACACAAGCTGTTTATTAGGGTCGTCTGCAAATCAGCGACAGACTAAATGGTTCGAATAGCGCTATAGCRCAGCCAATGAGAGCGCGCGTAAAAATGCGAGTAGGCATCATTAACCAATCACAGTTTAGTACATATATTTAAGTACGTTACTGGGGGCCTAGAGCAAGAAATCTGTCGCTGATATGCATGCAGACGAACTTAACCAACAGAGTTGTGTTCGGATCGGCACGCAGGCTACTTCCGCAGGTCTATCTTCTTTTGCTTTCTTTGGCGCTTGGGATTCCTGTGTGTTAATCGAATAGCAGTTTTGATCAAAATAGGAATTAATATGCTCGGTTTTGTGGAGGAAAAGGGAGGAAAACCGGAGAACCCGGAGAAAAACCCTCGAATCAAGAGAGAAATCTAACAAACTGTACTTATATGTCATGATGAGCCTGGAAATCAAACCCCAACGTGTTTAACTAAATATTTAGTCCTATCATTTTTAACCGGATTCCCAATTACATTGTACTAAATATCTTGATATTCTATTTTTCTTAAGGACATTTGTCAAATCATCTCGCCAGCTRTATCTGAAGAATCTATGCTGGGCTTCCTGTGGAAGCATGCCATGCGTGACATGAATCTTCTGTCAAAGGTCAGCGGACGCAGCGTGGATGATACAGCACTGATCGTACATATGGTTCTACGCAATATATCTGAGCATGCSCCAGTGTACCAAGGTAATATTATAGATTGCAATGGGAGAACATAAAMAGCACTCAGCTGATTTACTGTATTTAGAAAATCTTTTGTATTCTATTGTYGTTCTATCTTTTGTATTGGTTGCGATTCATTGTATTGCTATGACTAGATTACATCAACTGCTTGCTACGTAGGCTCTCCCAGATTGCAGATAATAGATCTGTTTGGCCTAAAAAACGTTGTCAGCAGAATGGCAAGTTTTCAGTAGAGTCGTWCTCGGTTGATAGGACGTGATGGGCAGTGTTTGTAGATGAATAGTTGAATGAGATAAATAGACCTCTTTACCTTGGGCGTAATGTTTTCCCATTTGAGACCCACGTGTCATTCCCTCAATGAGAATCATTTCGGTAGCAAAAGGAAGACACATGACAACTATAAAACGAAGAATTTTATCCTCAAGAGAATTAGTGGTGYGTGGTCTGAAATGGGAAAACATTACRCCCAAGAGATGAAGTTGATAGCTATCAAGCTATAGGTCGAAAATAGTCTTATTACGATTTGGTTTAACAATGCTTGTTTATACTATTTTGTCTTGCTCCCAAACTTCAAACAAGGCCGATACAATACCTTGAAAACAAAGAATGAAAGAAAACAATGGGAAAACAACTTCTCGACCTCGCTCATTGTACCACTTATGACTGTAAGTATTAACTCTACCTGATGACGTCATTAAATCGAGAAGCTTGTGACGTCATTACGTCATTACAAACTATTAATTGAATAATGTTTGTAGAATTTGGAGAGTGGTATCCAGAAGACAAGGGAGCTTATTGTCAACGACAAGCGCTTTGGTAAGTACGTCGTGTACGTCCAACAATGATCTTCTCCGCCGACCTTGTGATACGGCTTTCCAAGGGAAGGACAATATGTTATTCCTTTTGCTAAAATGTTRAGCCAATTTTAAAAATCATATAATTACTAATGGAATTCTTATTTAAACCATCATTTACTTAACC